CATGATGACTACCAGCATTGACAGCTAATAATAAACCCATTTTGTTCTTTTCAATTTGTTTTTTATCTAAGATTTCTACTTCAATATTTTTTAACTTGCTAAATTTATGCTTAACTTGGTCGGCAAATTCCTTAGCATGTAGTTTGTTAGGTGGGGTGTCTTGTAAATCTCGGGTCCAATTAACGGCTTCTAACTTAATGAGAGAATTATCCAAAATGGTTTGGACTTGCTTATTTTTAGTTATTAAATAATAATCACTGTTCTTTTTTTTATCTTCCTTTTTCTTAAATTTTATTGCCTGATGGGTGCCAAAAAATATTCCTTCGCTGACGGCTTGAATGATTTCTTCTTCCCCTAATCTTTTCGAAACAAAGGATTGAAGGTCAATATTTCAATCTCTTTCATTATTGCTAGAAAAATTGACAAAATAATTGTAAACACTGTGAAAATCATAATCCTCACTTTCTTTACTGACATATAAATAACCGGTTTTTTCTTCGGAGATTAAAGTAGTTTTTCATTCTTTTTTTTCAATTAAGGGATGAATTTTATTCTGACTTGTAATCGCTCGGAGGGTTAGTAAATTAGATTTAAATTCTTTTTGGATGAATAATGTGGTCATATATAACTTGAAATTATTTTAATTTATATTTTATATTTATTATGTGATTTACTCTCTTAATTGTTTTTTTATTCTAATTACTACTTTTTTCATAATTAGTGTCCGATTTTTAATCTAATTTTACTCTTCTACTCAGCCATCACCAAATTCATCACTATTATAAACTTTCTTTTGATAGAACCGAGGAGGCTTAGCCACTACTTTACTAACTACATCCTTATCATCCCAAACCTTACTGTGAGCAAAGGAAGCTTTTCAGTGAACCATTTCAGTATTTATTCCTAAGAAATCTCCTACCTGATAATTACCAAAAGGGGGTTTGTTAGTTAAAAAGATTCTTTCTTCAATATTTTGGGAATATCTAAGAGGTTTATGTAAGGTGAATTCAATATCCTTAGGTGTGAACTGCTTGTCAGTGATTTGGAAGATATCGATGTTGCCTTTAAGTGCCATGTTTATAAGGTAATTTTATTTGTATTCAACTATTTCTGCTTCATATTCTCCCTTGCCATCTTCACTAAACCCATATTTTAAAGGTTTAGAGATTTTGCCGTAGGTATATTTCTTAAATTCAGAGTCATAAAAATTTCCAAATAACTCCTTATAAGGTAAGTATCACTGATCATGCCAATGGCCTCCTTTGCCATTTTCATGTTCTTGCCAACATTTACCTATTATTGCTTTATTTTCTTCATAATAATTTCATCATTCTGAGTCACTAACGCAAGGAGAATTTTCTAATAATTGAAACCTTTCAATAATTTCTATCTCTTTTGAAGAAAACTTCTTCTTATAAGCTACAATATGAGCAAATTCATGTATCATTACATTAAAGAATTGACATTTACTTCGCAAAATATATCATGGAAGATAAATTTCTTTAAGAACTTGAATAGTTCAAGCTAACATGTTTTTGTTATAATATTTATATTTGGAAAGTTGTTCAAAATTTTCTATGAAAACTGGCTTTATTTTTGGATCAAACGAACCATGACTTAACATTTGAAGAACTATTTTTTTGTGTTTTTCTTCTAACTTTTTGCCAGGACAACTAGGAGGGCAATCAATTCAAGGAAAAACTTCTCCTTTACCACAGTCGGGACATTTGGGTCATCCTCCAACAAAAAGATAATAAGTAAGATTGATTTCTAACTAATATCTTTTAAATTATTTTACTAACTTTTGGGAGGGATTTCTACTTGAGATTGTTGTTGCTTTTGTCATCAAGTAAAGAATTCTTGGTTTAAGGATTGGATATCTCCGTGGTTGAGAACTCATTCAGTATCTACTTGTTTTATATCTCGTAACCAAGAACAGAAGTTATAGTCGGTAGGTTTGAAACCAGCATTTATTCAGTCTTGGGTTTGTTGGGGAGTGAAGTTTAGATTTTGTCAGGATTGGGTTTGTTGGGGAGTGAAATAAGGATAAATGTTAGTTCAATTATTGCCAGTATTAACATTTGCTTCACTTTCTTCCAGTTCTTCAAAAAATTCATTAAGAGTATTATTACTACCCCCAATATTAAAACCTTGAATGTTTTTTATTTGCTGGTTAATTGTTCGGTTGTCGATATGGAAAGTTTGGTTAATATTATTGAGTTTCCTTTGTATTTCTAACTTTAACTGTGTGATTTCTGTTTGTAGTTGACAAAGATTGTCTAATTCACCACCAGTTATCAATGTTTTTACGATCAACTTTTCTTTCATCTTTTGCTTTTCTTTAATCAAAAAGGGAGAAGAATTAGAGATGATTATATCTGCTTGAAACTCTAAAAGTTTAGTGAAATTTTCCCATAATTTTTCTTTATTATAATTACCAGTTTTTTCTAGGAAACTATTTTTTAATTCCTCTAATTCTTTTTCCTTTTGCTCAATTGTTTGTTTTTTAGCAAAGTAAAGTTCTTCAAAAGAAGAAAGTTGCTTTCTTAATTTTTTATTTGATTTTTGCAAGTTAGACAATTCATTTTTTTGTTCCTTTAGTTTCTCCATTAAATCAGGGGTAGGGACTCTATCCAATATATCCTTTTCTTCTTCCAATTCTATCTCCTTGTCCTTTACTTCTTCTTGTAAAAGAAAGTTCAAGACTCCTTTTAGTTTTTGGTATTTTTTTTCAAAGTTAATCGGATTATCTATAATTGCTGACTGTTTTTCTTCTAGTTCGTTAATTGACTGACTAAATAAACTTTCATCTTGGTTTTCAGGTATAGGAATAAGTGATTTTTCTTTTAGATAATTAATTTCTTCTTGCTTGGCTTCTAATTGTTCTTGTAGTTTGGCTATTTCAGTCACTATCGAGTTGCTCCTTGTTCTCTTGAATAATTTCACCTGATTTTGATGAGTTACTTCCTGCTCTTTCAGCTTTTCTTTACTGTCGTTAGTTTGTAGGATAGGGTTTTGTTTTTGTTCTTCAATCAGCAATGATTTATCACTAAGTTTAACTTCTAATTCTAATTCTTGCTCTACCAATTTTTCACAATCAATAAGGATACGCCAAACTTCATTCATAGTCTTCTTGTCTAGTTTAGTTCGTAACTGTCTTTTGATACTTAACGATTTCTTCTCATACTCTTCACATTTTTCATTGTAGTCAAGAGAGGCAATCCCTTGATTTTTGAATTTGGTGAATTCTAAATGAACATTAATTAATTCTTGTAGTAACTCCCTTTCTGGGAAAAGTCGTAAAAAAGAACTCATGATTTTGTCTTTCTGTTGTTTAATTAAATTAGTTAACTCCTGCACTCGGACTTCTAAATACCTAATTTTTACCTCTTCTTCCTCAAATAATGTTCTTTCTTTTTGGAATTGTTTTATTTTCTCTTCTGAATGCTCTACTTTCCTTTTTAAGTTTTCTATTTGATGATCTTTGTCTTCAAATTCATCACTATATTCTTCCAGTGTTAACTGCGCAAAGTATTCATCACCAAGCTCTTCTTTTATTACTTCTTCTAACTTTTTTAGCCGATTAATAACTTTTTCTTGACTATTTTTTTCTTTCTCTAACCTTTTATTATGTCGATCAAATATGTTTATTTCTTCTTCCAATCGTCCACAATATTTCTTTTTTAGTTGTTCAATACCAAAATCAATAAAATTATCTAGTGCTTTTCCTACTGTTATTTGTTCATTATCTCTTAATCAAGCACAAAAACCAGCATCGTATTCAGGGTTAAAATTATTTCCCAAAATACCAGCTCATTCTTTAGTTTGTTGATAATCAAATTTTTGACTTAGTCATTTTTTAACCAATTCCTTGCTAATAACTTTATTGTTAATCTTTCAATCTTCAATGACACTATCCAAAAAAATACCTCCGCCTTGAACCTCAGTAATGCTTTCATAATTATTGAAGATGTGTTTTAATACTTTTTGACGAATAACTTCTTTTTTTTCTTGGATTTCTTTGATTAGCCTAGTTTTTTTGTTCTCTAACTTTTCTATTATTTCCTCGATATTCATACTAATGGCTACATCACTTTTTGAAATTGTTATTTTTTCTTCAATCCTTATGCCACTTTTAATTATAACACTTTGGTTATTACTAGTTTGTTTTTCTTTCTCAACTTCCTGACTAATTTTACTGTTTTCTACTGAAACTCTATCAAATTCATTTTCATATTCTTTAGTTTCAATTTCTTGGCTGTTAACTAAATCATTTTCTCTATTTTCTAGTCTTTCTATTTCTTTTTTCAGTTCCCTTTCTTTTTCCAAGTAATCAGCATAATCATCAGCAATTTCCTTACTTAATTTGGCCAATTTTTCAGGTCTATAATCTTCTTTTTTAGAGCAAATGTTTTGCAAATTAGTTAGTAATATTTCTCGTGATTTAATCCTCTTTTTTCTATTTATGTTTAGCACCTGGTTTTCGCTTTCTCTCTCCTCTTCATTTTCTTCGTCAACAACTGCTGCAATTATGGAGGGACTATCAACATGGATAACTCTCTTTTGACAAGATTCAATTATTTCTTTTAGCCTTCCTTCTTCTTTAACTAGAACTTCGACATCCTCTTGACACTTCTTTGCTTTTCTAAAATCAGGGAACTTAGTTCTTACTATAGTGGTGTATTGTGTAATTTCTTTATCAAAAATAATAGTTCTTAGTAAATCATAAGTAGACATTTCTGATTGGTCAAATCGACCATCTGTAACAAAAAGAATTTGGCTGATGCCTTTTCGAACTAAATAAACTGCTTCGGCTATTATGTCTAATACTTCGTTTTGTTTTAATTTGGTATCACCAATACCAATAGTGTCAATTATCAAATAATTAGCACCTTTATCTTCAAATTTTTCAAATTGAACTTTTTTGGTTTCACTAGCACTGCTAGAACTTTCTTTAAACTTATTTTCAATATTAACCAATACATTGGCTAAGGTGGATTTTCCCTTACCAGTTCATCCGATTAGAAGTATTGTTTTGGTATCATTCATAATTTTAGCGTTTCAATAAAAGTCATTATTTACTTATCTTTTTATTTCACATATAACCTACTTCAATGGCTGCCTTGCAAGTTAAAGGGTCAGCTTCGAGACGTAATTTTATTTCTTTAGTTGTTTCTACTATTTCCTTTTTTAATTCTTCCTCCTTAATTAAACTATCATCTTTTTTGACTATTTCTTCTTTTCTTTTAATATGTCCAACCACAATAGAATAAATGTTATCTCATTCTTTCAATTTATAAATATCAGTGCAGTTTTTTTCTAGGTGTTCTAAGATTATCTTTCTTGAACGCTCTCTAACTTTTTCGTTTTTGTTAAGTTCTACTTGCTTATCTTCCCTTTCTCCTTCACTGTCTTCCTCATTGATTACTGGTATTGGTGGATTATCTACATGGATAATATCATTACAAGAATTAATTATTTCGCTGATTTCCAAACTTTGAGAAAGTAAATTATCTTTATCTTCTTGACATTTTTGCTTTCCGCGGAAATCACGGAAATTAGTTCTGATGATAGTAGTAAACTTAGTGATGCCACTCTCAGAGATAAAATCTTTAAAGAGATTAAAAGCCATTATTTGATTAGGAGAAAATTTTTCTTTAAAGACAAAAAGAACTTGATTTATTCCTTCTTTGGCTGAATAAATTCCTTCTCCTATTCGAAGCAAGGCGTTTTCTTCTGAAAGATAAGAGGTATCGCTAAAACCAATATTGTCAATTACTCGATATTTTTTACCCCGTCATTCAAAAACTTCGCTTTCTTGGAAACTTTTTGTGACACTAGTGCTAGAATTTTCTTCTTTGAATTGGTTAGTGTTAGTTAAGACATTAGCTAAAGCAGACTTACCATTGCCAGTTATGCCAATTATTAAGATGTTTCTAATACTGTCTTCTTTGGCGTGGGTTATTAATGAACCCTTTACTAGTTTGCCATCCTCGGTATCACGAGTAAAACCAGATCCTATTTCAGTTAATTCTGAACAACTGCTAATATCTATTTCTTCTAAAAAATTGTTACCAATGCAATTAATCTTTTTGAGTTTAGAACAACCACTAATGTTTAAATCATTGAGGTCATTATTACTGCAATCTAACTCTCTAAGATTTTTACATTCGCTTAAATTTAAACTGGTTAACTTGTGCGAGGAAATTATTAAAGTCCGCAAGTTAGTAAATCTCTCTAATTTTAAATCTCCTTTGAGAGTGCTATCATGAACAAATCATTTTTTAATTTCTCCTTTGCTGATGTTTAAATCAGTTCTTTCATTTCTCCTATTTAGTGGATATTCTTTATCCAATCATTCTTGGGCATTTACCATAATAAATTATTTTTATGCTTTTTACTCTTCCACTCACTCCCCTTCAAACTCTTCACTCTTATAAATAGGAATATTTTTGTAAGAAGGAGCAGAGGGATCCTTGGCTACTAATTTAGTTACTATGCCACTATTACCCCATATTTTACCCCTCTCAACATTCGGAGAAAAGAAACGAGTCCGATCCAAATCTACTGCTAACAGATCTCCTTCTTTATAGCGATTGAAAGGAACTTCATTGACTAAGAAAAGTTTATTATCAGTAGTTTGCAAGTATTGAATAGGCTTATGCACAGTAAATTCAGTAGAGTTATAAGAACCAGCCTTTTTACCTGTGATTTTGAATATTTGAATGTTTTTGCCTTGGAGTTTATTCATATAAGTAATTTTATTATTTTTTAATTTTCTTTCTTTTTCTAAACAGATAAGCAAGAAACGAAATAAAAAGTATAAAAGCAATCGTTCCTCCTGTTCACCAAACTATTTCTTTATCAGATGATTTTGTTGGAGAAGAAGTAGGATTTTTTCTTGGTTTGTCACTATCCCTATCTTTATACTTATTCAGCACAAAGTCTTTGCCCAAGGCTGAATAATCTGAACCCTCGGCTAATTTCTCATTTTTAATTCTTTCTCTAAATTCATCATACTTGTCATGCCAAATTTTATCATGACCCTCTCCTTGGTGAACTTGCTCTAAAACTCCCTTTTTTGCTTTACAAGAACAATAATAAGTATTCTTAAAACTATACTGTGGA